GGACCACCGCTGGCGTGAACGAGGTCGAGGGCGTGCTGAAGGAGCTGACTGAGGGACACCTCGAACAAGCCGAGGCCATGACCATCGAGAAGGATGCCGAGACGGAGGGCCCGACGGACGAGTTGAGGAAGTCGGTGCGTCTCAAGCTCCATCGGCTACGCTCGCAGCTGGGACATCCTGGAGCCCGAGCGTTCAAGGCGTTCCCCCGCCGACGCCAGGCCCCCAGCTGGGTGCAACGGGAAACCAGAGAGCTGAAGTGCGCCGCCTGCGAACGGTTCTAGAAGCAGCCCATGCATCCTGCGGCGTCGGGGAGACTGGCGGACCCACTGGACGTACTCGTGATGGGCGGGTTCGACTGGGTCCATCCTTTGTCGGGGAGCCGGGCGCGAGGCACTCTCCTAGTGGGCGAGGGTAGCGCGAAGGCGGTGGCCCGCGTGCACGCCGCGCAACGTGATCGAGGCGGATGTGGCGGCGCCAACGCGGACGAGGCCTGGGGCACCTTCGTGCGCTGCTGGGCGCAGTATTTCGGACGCCCACTACAGATCCTTACCGACCCAGCAGGAGAGCACGAGGCCCACGTGAACAAGGAGAGGGTTGCACAACACGACATACTGTGGGAATCAGAGCCAGGAGGAGCCCACTGGAGGACGGGCAGGGTGGAGTCCATCATCATGCTGGTGAAGAACACGGCCACGAAGCTGGCCTACCTGGGCCCGACTTGCAGCATCGACGAGCTCTTCACGTGGGCGGCGGCCGCCCACAACGAGATGCCGAACGGCTCCGGCTTCAGCCCAGACCAGATCGCCCTCGGGCGCCGCTTGAGGCCCCTGGACAGCAAGCTGATGGGATCGGTGGTCCCTTTGCAGGAGGAGGCTCGCTCAGGGTCTGCCGCGGAGGAGGCCATGCGACGACGCCTCCTTGCCCGCTCGGCCTATGCCAGGAGTCTGTCAGATCGCCGAGCCCGATTGACCGCGGTGAAGCGCGCCCGGGCGCAGCAGGAGCACACTGTGGGCGACCAGGTGCACATCTGGCGCCAGGCTGGCAAGACCGATAAGGACAATCACAAGACGTCCAAGGGGGGTTGCGTCGGGCCAGCTACGGTGCTCGCACACCTACGGCAACCTATGGAGGAAGGACGCCTCCGGAACGTGGTGATCCTGGCTTTTCGGGGCAGGTCCTTCGAGCTGTTCCACAGCAGCTGCGCCTGGTGTCTGACGCTGAACGGACCTTAATCGAGATGGGCACGGAGACTCGGGACCTCTTGCACCAGCGCGCGGACCAGGCTCTGAAGAGGCTCTCCCGCGTGGTGGACATCGCGGGGGAAGGCGAGCCCGACGGCGACCAGCTGGAGGACCCAGCCAACGCTGACGAGCCCTCCACGGAGATGGACGTGAACATTGAGCCTGGTATACCTCTGGACGAGGGCGTCTCCAGAGAGACAGAGACACCTCCGCCAGACCCCCCAAGGAGGTCGGAACCGGAGCAGGAGCAGCCGGTGAGTGAGCCCTCTCCTGAGCGCGGAGCTGAATCACTTGAAGGAGACGGAGGGGCGCCGCCGCCGCCGGCGAGGGCCTACGACCCGAGAGACGACCTGCCCTTCAGCCTCAGGCAGCGGCTCAGCGAGATGAGAGGAGGCCCACGAGACCCCCCCGGGAACCTGAAGCTGAACGGCCTGCCCCTCGAGGAGAAGTTCGGCCACGAGAGGAAGTCGGGAACGAGGAGTGCCCGGCGCCGAAGAAGAGTTGCGAGGAGTTCGACATGGAAGACGCTCTGGTCTCCATCTCCGACGAGCCCCCAGCCTGCGAGGTGCGCGCCGACCTCCCCGCCGAGGAGACGGACGAGAAGGCCTGGCGCAGGCTTGCGCGGGGCCCCGCGGCCTACGCTGCCGCCGCCGTGAGGCAGAGTGGCCCGAAGGTGGTCCTCCGGAAGCTGGGCCACGCCGTGAGGGAGCAGTTCCGGGCAGCCGAGAAAGCCGAGGTCAACAGCTGGCTGGCTAACCAGGTCACTACGACGGCCCAGGGGGCGGATGCTGGACCAAGGGGGCCAATGAGGATGCGCTGGCACCTGACGGTGAAGTCGGACGGGAAGGCCAAGGCCCGAATCGTGCTCCTGGGCTTCGAGGACCCGCGGCTGGGTCACATGAAGACGGCGAGCCCGACCGCATCCGTCAGAGCCAGGAACCTCGCCTATCAGGTTTGCGCGAACGAGGGCCTGCGCCTGCACATGGGCGACGTGAAGGCGGCCTTTCTGCAGTCCCAGAGTTCCGACGCCGGCATCTTCGTGGAGCCCGTCCGCAAGCTGCGCGAGGCCATGGACTTGCAGGAGGACGAGGTAGTGCTGATGCTCAAGAAGGCCTATGTTCTGTGCGACGCCCCGAAGGAGTGGTTTGACGAGGTCGCCAAGCGTGTGGCAGAGTCCGGCTGGGTCGCCATGGTGCTGGAGCCGTGCGTGTGGACCCTGTGCGACAAGGGCCGTCTGGTCGCCACCGCGTTCGTGCGCGTGGACCACTTCGCGCTGGGCATCAGGGAGAACAACGACATGGCGGAGTAGAAGCACGAGGAGCTGCGCAACTACTGGCTGTGGGGCTCCTGGGAGACAGGGTGCTTCAGACAGACGGGCGTGGGCGTGGTGCAGCTGTCTGACTACTCCATCTCGCTCTCTTTCGCCGCCGCCGCCGCGAAGGTGGAGATGATCGAGGGATGGAGTGGGCGAGCCCGGCGAGCTGACGACGCCCTGCCAGCCACTGGGATCACCGCGTGCCGAGCAGCCCTTGGGGGCTTGCAGTGCCTGGCATCGCAGGGCCAGAGCCTCATCGCCGCAGACGCTAGCATGCTGTCATCATACACCAACACCGCGACATATGGGCTGGCCCCTCGCATCAGCAAGGTGATCCGCACGGCCCGCGAGACAGCCCGTGTACCAGTGTGATTTCGCGCAGTCAAGGACCCGATCTTTATCGCCTTCCACGATGCGGCCTGGGCTGTCAGGAAGGACGGGAAGTCGCAGGGGGGCTACGTCATCGGGATGGGCAAGCGAGCGCTGCTACACGGAGAGGGCCACGCCATATCCCCATTGCAGTTCACTTCGAAGAAGCTCCCGCGCGTGACGCGGTCGAGCTTGGGATGCGAGGTGCAGTCGGGGAGCATGTGCCACGAGGATCTGACCTACATGCGCATTGCCTGGGCGGAGCTGATGCGAGGCGGTGCCAAACTGAAGGGCATCCGAGGCTCACTTCAGCTGACGCAGGCGACAATGGTCACCGACTGCAAGGGCCTGTGCGACGCCCTGGCTCGCAGCGTGAGCGCAGGACTGGGCGCGGACGACCGTCGCTCTGCCCACGAGGCGCTTGGCCTCCAACCAGCGATGGAGGAGGGAGCTGCCGAGCTGCGCTGGGTTCACTCGGAGGCCATGCCGGCCGACGGACTGACTAAGGGATCGTGCGCAGCTCGATCCGTGTTGGCGGACTTCCTGACTCGTGGCTACTGGCGTCTGGTCCAGGACCCGACCTTCACTTCCGCCAAGAAGCGGCGTCAACGAGGTCGCGAGGACATCTTGGACGACGGAGTCGAGCGAGAGCCCTTCCTCCCATCGGTGAGCCCCGACGATGACCTGGGCGACTTCGAGATACCAGCGGGGTACGACAACTACTAGTTACTAGGACGAGTGGCAGTACGATAGCTTCGACGACCTCCCCGTGTGAATCATGTAAGACACGATAGGCGCGCAGAGAGTGTAGAGAGTTGGTCTCGTCTTTGCTATGTTTGCCTGTTGCGCACAGCGTTATAGATGCAGCCATTTTGGAGCATGCTACGGTCGTAGCTAGGGGACTGTGTGAACGCAGTGCGTCGCCGTGACCGGTGAGCAAAAGAGTACATACATCACATCTGCACTGACACATCAGGGCCGCCGCTACGACGACAACGACGACAGGCAGCGACGGTGCCGACACCCCGACGGCAGAGCGGGCCCCAAACTCCACCGACGACGAAACGAACGACAGCGACGAGACGACGAGCGACCAACGGCGACCGAGGGCCCACCGAGCGAGGTCCCGAAAACCGGAGGTAGCCGCCAAGGTGCGACCCCCCAGCCCCCCTCACTGCCCGAGCAGCTCGGCAGAGGTGGAGGCTGGACTTCAACCCGCGCGAGGGGAGGAGCATCGCGCGGCTCCACGTCGGGTGAGGCCCCGAACCCCCCGTCCCCGAGGAGGGGTCCCGCCCCCTGGGATGGAACGCCCACCAAGCCCCCCAGCCCCCGAACCACACGCGCTGTGGCGCCCCGGGTGCAAACCGCCAAAAAATGTTACTGCACACCGGGGGGGTCCGAGAGGGAGGGGCTCGCCGGGCTCTGCATACCAGCAGGGCAGACGCCGCACCCAGGAAGGGCGGGGACGGAGCCACCCAAGGCGCAGGGCCGCCCCCAGCATGACAAGGGGCCCGAACGGCACTTGCGGGTCCAGCGCAGCAGGCCGTCCTGGCATCGCGGGCGCCAGCATCGCAGAGCGGCCTGGCACCAGCCGAGCGCGTTCTCTTGTGGGGAAGAAGCGGACCCCTCTCCCGGACGCCCCCGCTAAGCCCAGGCACGTCGCACAGGTCGAAGTCGAAGGCGGCGTCGTTTGCTCCTGCGGGGGGGGGGAGAGGGGCATTACTGGGGGGCCCCCCCTCGGACAGAGGTGCGGTGGCTGCAGGCAGCGGGGAGCGGGGGGACAGGGGAAAGGAAGAGTGGGACGATCCCACCTTTGACGCTTGACCTTAGAGGACAGGAGGGACAGCAGGAGGACAGAAGAGGCGGAAGAGGGCCCATTCTGGGGAGGGGGGTGCCCGGGCGAGATGGGGAGGAGGGGAGGGGGAAAGGAGGGAGCCTTCTCGTCCTCCTCCTTCTTTTCCTCTTTTTTTTTTTTGTTCCTCCTCCTCCTCCTCCTCCTCCTCCTCCTCCTCCTCCCCTCTTTTCAGGGGAGGAGGAGGCAGCGTCAGCAGGAGCAGGAAACGCCCGCGACGCAGGGCAGCGTCCCGGCCCCACGCGGACGCGGAGGACACCAAACTCGACAAGGCCCGTGGGCCCCCCGGGGACAGCGCCCTCGGCTGCGCGTCAAAAGCGGCCCGCCGCCAGGGCGGTCTTTGGCGCGGTCCCACTGGGGCAGGGCCCGCTGCGATCCGACCGATCCGATTCGGGGCCGAGTTCGCGCAGCTCGATCCTCTCCTGGCTGTCTGTGGCTCAGCATTGGTTTGGCAACAGGAAGGGGGGTCAGGTTCGAGGTTCTGGGTTCGATTTTTTTTTTTTTTTTTTTTTTGTTTCCCCCCCCTTTTCGGACTCCGGGGGCCGTAATCGGGCCCCGGGACCGCCGAAGACGAATTTGGAATGACAAATTGTTTCAGATGGATCCTGGGAGGGGTCCGGCCGATCTTGAGCGGATTCGGTCTCACGCCCAACTCCTGACCGATTTTCGGGGGTCACAACCAGTTCAGATCGCCGGTCCTCTTCCAACCGGTCCGATGCCTGCACAGCGCATGTGTGCACTCGGGCGCAGCCGGTCCGATCCAGCCCCAGCTCCGTGCCAGTGCGGCCCGATCCGACGCACGTGCCGGTTCGATCGGGTTTCCCGACTCGACGTTGACTGATCTTGCTTGGGTCTACCCAGCACTGGCCTGCGCATTTGGGTTTGGCCCTCCAGCGGTCCCCCAAAAGCCGCGCACCAAAAAGGCCACTCTTGCCCTGAGGCCGCTATCTCCGCATGCAGCCGAGGCTGGTCGTCGGATTCCCTCCTCTCGAGTCGACGATCTTCCGGACGTGTGTTAGCCCAGTGTGTGTGTGTGTGTGTGTGTGTGTGTGTGCGCACCCCGTTCGGCTTGTGGCGGCGATCGTAACACCGCTTGCGTCGTGTTGACGGGCGTTGGTGGACAAGCACACATTGGCGCTAGCACACGTTCAGAGGATCATCGATCGAGGCTGGGACCGGTATGGGCCTCTCCAGGGAGGGTCTCTCCTCTTCTAGGGCTTCCGAGGGGTTGGTTTCTCTTCTGCGGCGGCAGACTGGCAGCAGTGAGGCGAGGGATACCTTCGCCGGCGCAGGCTGGCGGAAGGCCAGCGGAGGCCAGCGGCAGTAGATCCAGAAATCCAGCGTATTGAAACATAAGCATTATTGTGGGTAAAGAGGCAACAAACACATGTTCGGCCTAGGAAAGTTGCGCCCCCCTCCAGAGGGATGTCGACATTTTTGGGCACGGGGTTTCCAGCGTGGGCCTGGGTCTGTGCGTCGACCGAGACATCGTGGGAGGGGGCCCAAAGCCCTCGCTGTGCCCCGCTCTCGCCTCCCCGAAGGCCAGCGACGTCGAAGATCTTCACCCCTCGCGCACACACTGGACTGGGTACGTATAAAGAAGGGAACGATTGACCCTCCGACGGAGCTTGCCCCTCCCCCCCTCCCCTTCCTTCTCCTCCTCCCCCTCCCGTCCCCCCCCTCCTTCCTCCTCCTCCTCCGCCTCCTCCTCCTCCTCCGCCTCCTCCTCCTCCTCCTCTGCTTCTTCCCCCCCCCCCCACCCGTTCCGACAGCACGTGCTCCGTCGTCGTTGGCCGCCCGCTTCCGCCTCTGCACCTGCTACTCCTCCTCTCCCTCCGCCTCCCTCTCCCCCTCCTCCTCCTCCTCCTCCTCCTCCTCCTCCTCCTCCCCCTCCTCCTCATCATCATCATCATCATCATCATCATCATCATCATCATCATCGTCATCGTCATCGTCATCGTCATCGTCATCGTCATCATCGTCATCATCGTCATCGTCATCGTCATCGTCATCGTCATCGTCATCGTCATCGTCATCGTCATCGTCGTCGTCATCATCATCATCATCATGTATCCAGGGTGTGTCCGTTACTCTCGCGCCCCCCTTTTGTGAACCCGCAACCTCCTCCTCCTCCTCCTTCCCCTTCTTCCCCCTTCTTCCCCTCCTCCCCTCCTCCTCCTCCTCCTCCCCTCCTCCTCCTCCTCCTCCTCCTTCTCCCTCCTCATTCCTCCTTCCTCTTCCTCATCCTCATCCTCATCCTCCTCCTCCTCCTCCTCCTCCTCCTCCTCCTCCTCCTCCTCCTCCCCCTCCTCCTCCCCTCCTCACCCTCCTCCTCCTCCTCCTCCTCCTCCTCCTCCTCCTCCTCCTCCTCCTCCTCCTCCTCACCCTCCTCCTCCTCCTCCTCCTCGCCCTCCTCCTCCTGCTCCTTCTCCTCCTCCTCCTCCTTCTTCTCCTCGTCCTCTCCGCTTCATGTGGCCGGGCCGGCCAATCTCTCTTTGCCGTTTTCTGTGGCCAGTTCACTCCTCCTCTCAATTTCATCTCCTCTGTTTGCCCTCCCTCTCGCTTCCCATCCTCTTTCCCTCCCTCCTACCTCTCCTGCCCCTCCGCCCTGCCTCCCGTCTCCTCCTCCTCCTCCTGCTCCTGCTCCTCCTGCTCCTCCTGCTCCTCCCGCTCCTCCTGCTTCTGCCCACGGGAGCAAAGTCGCGCTCGTCACCCTGGCACACGCCAGATCAGCACCAGTTAGCTAACGTCCCTCCCCCCTCCCCCTTTGTCTCATTCCCGTCATCAGGGGTCGACCTAGACGATATTTTGGCGATTTCGTGGGTGGTTTTTGTTTCGGTTTGCAGCGAAGGCGGATCGAAGACAAAACGAGGGACAACGAACACACAACGAACACGAGCAACACTGTTTAGGTCGCTTTGCCCGTCATCACGTTCTTTCCTCCCTCCTTCCTCTCCCCCTCGCCCCCTCTCCCCCCCCTCCTACCCCGCATCCCCTTCTCCCCCTCCTCTTGCCCCTTTCCTATCCCCTCCCCTCCCGCCGCGCCTCACAGCACGCCGCCGCGGCCCCCCCCTTCCCCCCTTGGAGGCGCTGCTCAGGCGGCCGCTGCAAGAGGGCGGCGACCTGGACGAGGCCGTCAAGACCACCTGGGGCTCTGGGGCGTCGTCCGAGAGGACTCGGCGTCGGTGTTGTCGTCGTCGTCCTCCTCCTCCTCCTTTTCCGCCTCCTCCTCCTGCTCAGCCGCCTTCGCCCTCCTCAAGCTCCTTCCCCTCCTCACCCTCCTTGTCCTTCTTCTGCTCAACCACTTCCTCCTCCGTTTCCTCCTCCTACATTTTTTTCTCAACTTCTGTCCTAAAGGTTCAACAACTCCTTAGAACAGAAGTAAGAGCCCCTAAGCGCAAGCACTTAGGGGCTTTAAGTGCTTGCGCGTAGAGCCCAGAAGCGCTGGCACTTAGAGCCCCTCTAGTGCTTTCCACCACTCAGCCCTCTGGCTCCCAGCCACCAGCGCGCTATGTTCCACTCCGACCTCTGCCTGTCGACTACTGGCCTCCACCAACTCGGCACTCTGACTTCCACACCCCAGCGTCCGACGCGCGAGCGAGAAAATATGTGCACTTTTGGGGTGCTGTGCGGTATGCAGACACACCCGCTGCGGGGGCTTGCCGGCCCATACGCTATCCCGCAGAAGATAGGTTAGCATCCTTCTGCGTTGCGTGGGCCAAGAGCAACTCGACATCGAGCGACACACTAGACTCCAATGACTCCAACAACACGACGACGAGCGCACGACGGGGGCTCCTACGGCGCGCCACTCCGGCTTCGACATCAGAGTTAGGCTCGACACCTGCGCGGGCTAAAAAACCAACGATCGCCCCGTCACCTATGTTAGCATCCAGCCACCACCGCTACAGCTGCAACATCGGCACACCGTCCACGACAACAACAGGTGCAGTGATCATAGCTTCCATTGTAATTCTGGCAATTGCAGCTGCGACTACGACTTCCGACTTCTGCTGCAGCTTCCGACTTCTACTTGCTCCAACGCGGGCCCAGACAACACCCCCAACGAGAGCCTGGCTGGACATATATCTACAATTTTTGATGCGGCTCTGACTCCGAGGCCTCCCCCGACTCCGACCTCCCCTACACCCGAATTCGGTGCACTACCCTGGGGCTGGGCGTTGCGCAGGTGGGGCGCTGGATGCACCGGTACATAGTGCCCGTCTCCATGCGCCCAGCGGCCTCCATCCGGACGGCTGCAATCATTCGTACTGCTTCGAAGCGCACCTCGTCTTCGCCATCTTCTGCTCGTGGTTTCTTCCTCCTTCTCCCCCTTTTTAACTATCTCCGCTGTGGCGCGACAGGGATTTGGGATTTGTTCCGACCTTGTGCCAATTACTGTGCTGTGCTGCGCCTCTTTGTATTGGAGTTGTGCGATGCTTGATTATATGAATGGTCGCCAGGATCATGTGGAACTGCATCCACAACGCTTCAATACGTCCTCCTCTCTCTCCGCGTTCCCATGATGCTGTGTTGGATTTACGGCCGTGCCCGTTTAGGCCATGCGGTAGGGGTCATGGAACAACGCTTGCAACAGCGGCCCGATACGTTAGTGGGGCAATTTCGTATCAGTCGCCTTTTGGTCTCCTGCCCGCGCTTCCGTCGAGACCGGAGCTTTTCCAAGTTTTTGTATTCACTGCAATGTCGTCGAGTTCGCCTGGATGTGTTTCTTGGATAGCCCTCCTGAGGGGCAGCAGGTTCCTCCTTCTCCTCCTTGGTTTGCCGTCGCAGTTTTTGCTCTCGCGACGCCTGGAAGTGTGGATAGAAGTCCGCTAGGAAAAGAAAGAATTAGCCTGGCGAAGGACCCAACCATATGCAGTTGTGAGTCCCGCAGTTGTGTGTATCGTCTTGGGTAGGGGGGACGCGTGCGAACTTTGCCACTTGGGCCTTCGGTGGAGCTGTATTATGTGATTTCGTGCGCACGCCAGGCTATCATCATATTCTCTTGGCGTTGCGTTTGTGTAATTTCATCATTGGTGTCCTACTGTTCGTGGCCGTGCAAGTTTTGTTCTCATGTGTGAGTGGCTGTGTTCCTGCCTGTGCATCGCGGGTAAGTTTAATCACCTTGCTGACGATCACGAGGGAGCTCGGCGCAGGAGGGCACACCCTAGGTTACGATTTGATGTGTCGAAACGGAGATGGAGATAAATCACCGCTGCAACGAACCACGGGATGGCCGAATGCCTTCGTTCTCACGCCGTTTGTAACACTAACGCCGTGCTGAAACTAGCCGGTTCCCAGTGCTTATGCAACCGTTTGAGATGAGGCATGGTTTGCATGTTAAATTGCGCTTGGCCCATGACGAATCCACATCGGATTCACGAGGGAAAGGCATGACCAAACCCACAGCTGTCACCGTGCGAACGAGCTAAATCCAGACGTCCTCGAAAATAACGTACTTTGCGCGGGCCGTCATTATGACCCTGTCTGCACCGAGCAACATTGGTCCCAATGAGGAGCCTTCATTCCATTGACGGCGAGATAATACAATCTAGGTAAAAAGTGACTTGAATGTTATAGCTTACTGCAAAACAGTCAGGACGTACATGTAACAGGCTGTCACACGTTGGACGTCGAATTTTGTAGTATAATTTTGATTGTCCTGCAACGTATAACCTTGCAAAGCGACGCAAATAGCACCTGGTGCAAAGCAAGGCAAGCAAATATACGCAACGCAAAGGCCAAGAAACCAAAGCAAGGCGCCCGAGGGCCGTGAAACTGGGTGCCCGAAGGCCCAGGAACAAGGGGGTCTGGCCTACCTTGCACCAGGGGTACAGAGGAAGTAAGAATCTTTCAGGCAAAGCCAGCGTCGGTAGTGCACACGGAGTGCTTGTGCCTTGACCATTCGACCATGCCCTGCTGTGCGACACGCCAGAGAGTATCCAGCTGTTGCATGGCCCCCAAGATTTGCCGTTGCAGCTCGGTCCACGGCCGTAGGCGACCACCGGAAGGTCTGTACGTGCTTGCTGTTCTGCCATGTCCCGGCCCAGGACCTGCTTCGAGACATGTGATCGCGCACCTTCCATCTTCGCTGGCAGCTCCCATGCATGGGACCAGCAGGCCGACCCTGGACTCGAGTGCAGCAGCGTGTCCACCACGGCACTGTCACGTCATGCTCGAAGTGCGCGCCGCCTCAGCATTCGGAGCAGATTCGTGCATCACGTGAGGAATTTGGGTCCGTAGCCAGTCGGGCCCAAGTTTGGTTTAAACAGTTGTGTCCCATTTGTTCTTCGGTGCATTTGTCCTGTTGCACATGGGACTTTGGAGTGCCAGGCCTTGCTTCACGATCTGTTCGATCCTCGTGTTGCTGATTGCATGTGGAATATATTCGATTCAGAGAACCATCTGGTGGTCCGCCTACGATCCTCATAACTGTGAGTCTTGCAGCCCACGCATCGATTGGAAGCGTGCATCTCGGCAAGAGGTTGGTGATGTAGAGAGGGCAGCCTTTGCAGTCGATGGAGTGGCTGTGATGAAAGGAGCACTTCTTGACACGGCTCTAATATCAGAGCTTGGTGCAGAGTGTGATCATCTTTCCGACACATTCCTTACAAGCGTAGTTGCAAAGTTTTTGTTGAAATTTTACCTCCGTTATGAGCACCGTTTGGAGACACGCAGCGAGATGTTGCGAGATTGGGCTGTGCACGGTCCTTTTGGCAAATGGGCAGCGCAGCTTTTGAATGCAAGCGAAGTGCGGTTGTACAACACTGAGCTGATCCAGTTGCGCTGTCGCCCGATTCCGCCACCGGGCTCGGGCGGGCGCGGAGGGGGGAGGCCTTGGGCGTGGGATGGGGGGAGGGGCCACAGTACCTTTCTCCCCCAGGCTTTGTGTTCGGGACCCTCTTCTGCTTGGAAAACGAGAAGCGCAGGGACTTGGTCACAAGAATGAGCGCATCTTGGGCTCGATGCGTCGGGGGGGCCCGTTTCTGCTACGCAGAAACCCAGAAAGCGCCCGACGCACTCCAACCGCTGCAAGCGCGGTGGCGGATATTTCACCGTGGGTCTGAGTCACCCACATGTAAGCCGGCTTGGCACCGCGACACGGTGGCAGCACCATTCGCCCCAGAGGTTCCAAGCGTCGTGTTCAATATTTATTTGCACGACATCGATGCGGAGCATGACGGTCTCATCTATGTGCGTCGGTCTCATGTGGATCCAAGCTCAATGCCGGATGTCATCGATATCGTTGAGCCGAACATCTCTGTAGGGGATGTTTTGGTACATTCCGCGAATTCTTATCATACCACCAGCGGCCGTGGTTGCTTCAAGCGCCGAAGCTTGCAATTTCGGTACTTCGCTGGCGCAGCCACACTTGCACATGGACCCATGCGCCAATCCGGACCCATTCCTTGGACTTTCGCCCATGCACCTGGTGTAGCCCCCCACGGCTTGAAGCTCGGAGACCCATTACAAGGGCCATGGTATCCATTGGTGCATCCTAAGCCCCTTGTCGAGGAGCAGAGAAGTGTGCCAGAGGCGAAATCTTGGGGCATCCTGAGCCTAGGCAGGTTTGTCAGTGATTCTGCTTCGGTTATGAACACCAGCACTGGCAAGCCAGCGCCTGGCTTTGTTGTGATGGATGGCGTGGTGAAAAACCCCGACGAGTGGGATTGGAAACCCATGGGGGACACCGGCATGATGCTCCCGTCCTTGAAAAAAGCAGGTCTGGTACCCTCATGAGACGAGGGCCTCAGCAGTTTTGTTCACATCATGTTGCTTTGTGACCATTATGGTGTGCTTGCCTCTTAGCTTGTGTGCAGAGTGCATCGCGCTAAGTTTTCGGGGTCGTAAAGTAGTCGATATCTCCCTTTTCACGGTCGCCCTGATGCTGCAATTTGGTTTGGCTTGTTTTCGGTTCGGATTCGAATCCTTGTTTTCAGTCGCACACCGTGCGGGAAAAAAAGCACGCGACATATCGAAGACGCCTGCGGCGAACCACCGCCGCCCGCTGCCTTTCTGGAAGCGCCTCTGTGCATGGCTCGGCCAAGCCATCGAACTTCCCGTTCCCCCAGCCGTTGTGATTTTTTTTCGGGGATCACGTGGGGGAGAAAGAACAATAATACTACTGACAAGAAGAATCGTACTAGTCGTAAACAGAGTAATAATGTAACTA